TATGTATGTATGTATATACGTATATGTATGTATGTATGTATATACGTGTATGTATGTATGTATATACGTGTATGTATGTATGTATATACGTATATGTATGTATGTATGTATGTATGTATATATGTATATGTATGTATGTATATATATATGTATGTATGTATATATGTATATATGTATATGTATGTATGTATGTATGTATGTATGTATATATGTTCTTCTTGAAATAACAATCATTGCACTGGGTAAGAACTCGAGGTGTCGGGCATCGGGATCTAACAGCAATGGCGGGGGCGTGCCCGGAGGACCTCCTTGTCGTCTGCATGGTGGCCTCTGCTCTCCTTTCCCTGCTGGAGCAGGTCTCCTCCGCTGGTCCCAGGAAGATGAGCGTGAGGATATGGGCAGCGTGAAGGAAGGTCTCTGCTCTACGACCACTGGGGGCTCGATCGGAGAGAGTGACCCCGGACGCACGTCCAGAGACATGTGGATGGGTAGGGAGGGAGGGTGGAGAGCGCTGTATGGACGCCAAAGACATGGTCCCCGGACGGGGACGGGACTGCCAACTGGGCGGCCAACAGCCGCTTAGGTTCTCTCTTCCTTCAAAATGTCGAGAAGCTCCACCTTCTGTTATGGTAAGCATCTTTCTCTGGCACTTGGGTTCGCTGCCTGAAACCTTAGATGGTGCAGAACCTTTGGGTGGCATTGTACGGCTTGAAATAAATTCAGTGTCTTATGAAAATTTCACAGAAGTGCACAGCGAAAGAGAGCAAACAGACTGATGCTATGGTTACTGAGCCAATCAGTGCCTGGGATAAAGAGTACAATGCTCTGGTTGGTCGTCTTCCATAAATCAGCCAATCGTGTGTCATGCACAAACTTACATTGAAAACCCATGAAACTGTGAGACCGCGAATGTCACGTTTTAATTTTCATCCAATGATCTCTATTATGAACTCTATCATTCTGTACTTCCCCATCATGTTTGGTTCCTTTTAACACATAAATAATACATTGCCCCCTCTGGAAAAAAAAAATCCTGTTAATATTTGATCCCTCAAAAGTTGCTCAGGACCTTGGAACCCTTTAAAAGCAGTATGCAGATCTAATTTGGCTGTTTGCCTTGGTGTCCAGGACTGAGTGTTTGTTCAAAACATCACCTTCACCTCCTGTTATCAGCTCTGTGAATAGTATCTCCTAGAACACAATACTGAGCTGTAGAACCCAATAAAAGAGCAAAAGGCAAGGACAATCTGAAAGACTGGCTGACTGATAACAAAAGTGTCTCGCCTAATAATGAAAAACGGGGGTTAGCTTTCTTTTCTCCAGCTTAGGGAATATCAGACGTGGTGTGGAGCGTGGGGTTTTGTGGGTGTGTGTTGGATGGGGTTGGCTGCCAGCTCTTGCCAGTGTGTTTTATGGCTAATTGAGGCATTTGGAATAAAACTGCAGCAAAATGGCACCCTTTAGAATTGGAGCAGGGTTAATATATAGTGATCCCACAATTAGCCCAGGATTGTTAAGATCTCTTTAATTCTGCGAGGTCCATTAAGCGAGATGGCTACGAAAAGTGCTTCCACAGAGACAATTTTTCTCCCCTCTCTTTGTCCGTCCTTTCCACTCGGCAGCTGCTGCGGTGATCAATATGAATGGAAGGGGTCGTCTGCTGGTTGTAGGGTTATTCTGCCATTTTGGTGCCAAAGCTCCTGGGAGTCGCCTGCATTGAGATTTTTTATTTATTTATTTATTTTGCAAATGTCCAAGATGCACATTAAAGTGATTTTGGTTTTGAAACTTTGCAGTGTGGTCACTAAGCTGGCGTGGAAAAATTAGCTTTCCTGGACGGAGGTATTATATCATTTTTCTTTCTTTGGTGGAAACCAATACTAAGGTATGCTCTTTACCCCAGTTTCTCAAATCCCCACTTGGCCTATGAGTGCCTCCACTCAATCCACAGCAGCGCTTGCTGCCTGACGATCTCGACCCAGGGTTTTACAAGTGTCTCTCTTAGAAAATGAGAGTCCCTCCTCGGTTATCTTTTGGGATTCACTGCACCTGTGGGAGCTTGGTGGAATTTGTGGAGGTTTTTCAAAAAGGATTGAGCTCTCTACATTTGAACTCACTGTGACCTAAAAAAAAAAAATACAGTCGCCTTTAAAGCGTGACATAATAATAATCATTAAACAACCCCGCTTTTAATGTAACTCCCATCACACGGCAGCATACATGACAATTTTTACTGAATTTAGATTTATGGGTTTAGGGAGGATGGAAGCAGTGGATAAAGCTGCGCCTAAACACGGCATTGATTGGATGGTTGATGAGTTTGGACTGAACAGATGGCTGGCTCATTAAAGACTCATTTGTGATCATCTAAAAAAGGATCCTAAATTTCAATTCCTCATGCAAAGATGTATGCTGAGGCTAAGCTGAGGCTCCAGCTCTATCAGCAGTTTATACCAACTCTCTTAGTGCTCAGGTAATGATTTGGGAAGCTGGAAAATGGTGAGCGTTTCAATAGCACTAAGGTTCCAGCACAGTGGACTTTAAAGCTTCCTGCAAGTAATTAAACAGCATGCTACCTCGTACTGAGCAATTTCCTGCAAGGCATTAGCTTGCCAATGCCGCATGCCCCCCAGTCTACACCGTGTTATCTCTGTGAAATATGTCCCCTTTATCATTTTTTAATATTAACTGAGTGTTTATGTTGATAAGGAAAGATCTGCTCAATGAGCATCAAATTAACATTTACTCACTGTTAACTGGCTCACTGAAGAAATATGTATCATCTCTAAATGACCATTTAAAACCTGAAGTATTAAAGTGGCTGTTGTCATATTCGTTATTAAGAAATGTTCAATAAAAATTGATTGTATCAATGGCTATATGCCATCGTCTAGTGATTATATTCCTCGTGTGCGCATTAGAACGTGCTTTGTTTGGGATAACCACCGAACTTCTTGCAAAATTTATTGTTCATCTTCATACTGTTGTGAAGTCCCCATTTTGTGACACTTTTATGTTTTATTGTCAATATTGAACTAAGACAGATACAAAGCATCTCAACTCCTTGTCACATTTTATGAATTTGCACACATGCATTTTGCCTCTTGTATATTTTTGTTCTCTACACAAACTTGCAGAACTGCCATTGCTTATAAATGTTCAGGCTTACATTTCTCGTTATCTGTCTCGATGTTATTATTGCTCTTTGACACTTCGGCTCGTTTAAAGCCTCATCTACTTAACAGCCAGCTGCAAGAACAAGTTTTATTTCTCAGAAAAGGTTGATAGGAACTCTCTGTGCTAAATATCAGTTGCCAAGCCAGCATTTTAAATCCCATTTGTTTAGCATTTAGCGGGATAGGGTTGCTTTCAAGCAATTTTTGTCTTCAATCCAATTGTCTTTTTCTGTAGTTGAACATGGACAAAAGGTAACTTGTTTCTATTGTATATTTTACTGACAGAACCTGTCCAAACCATTTTGTCCTCAGTGCTAATTGTGTGAATGTTTATGAAGCATTCACACAATTGTAATCCATTTTTTTTCCATAAATTTTTCGGCGCAATTCTCATCCTGCAGTTTTCAAGCTATTTCAACAAGTCATAAATCAAAACGTTCATCTCTTTCAGGACAATCCTGCCATGACTTTTTTGGTATTGGTGCAACTTTAGCTTTTTGAACTATTTAGCCTTTTCTGCCACTTTTTTTCTCATAGAAAATCAATTGAGCTCATTTTACAGCCTTCACATCTTTAGATCAATTTACAACCTTTTACTACTTCTTTCACATTTTGTTCTGGTTCATCTTCCTTGTGCAAATTTTTTTTTTTAAATCAGCTACTTTCAGCTATTTCAGATGTTTTTTTCCAGCTTTTTCTGCTATTTCAGCTACTATTTAGCTGTTTCTGCTACTTCCACATTTTCCAGCTCATTTCAGCTCTTTCTCCTTCTGGTAGTTTAAACTTCTTTCTGTATTTTCAGCTATAGATTCCAGCTATATTTGCTGTTTTCCGCTTGATTTTGGCTAATTTCCTAATTTCTGTGCTCATTTCTGCTTATTTAAACCTAAATCTGTGTTCTTCCTGCTTTCTTCTACTAATTTACACTTGTTCTTCATTTCAGCTACTTTTCAGCAGGTTTTTTAGCTAATTTCAACTGTTTTTCAGCAAGTTCTTCAGCAATAAGCATTCACACTACATTTTCGCAGGAAATGCAGTTTCTCAAGTTAGCTGTTAGGTGTACTTAAAATATGCACTAATTCTGTTTTCTTGAATAATTCCAGGTATGTTGGCTGTTGCACAAAAACCAAACCCTAACCAATTTATTTTTCTTTTATATTAACATTAAAAGGTTCTACGCAACCAACAGCATCTTTTTTCTCTAATGCAAATCAGATGCATTTGATCTTGACTAAAATTACCCTTTTTTTTGTCTTTCTATGTTTTGTCTCTGTCTTCCTCCTTTTCCCCCTTTCTAAGAAGATAGATGAAGAAAATGAGGCCAACTTACTGGCAGTGCTTACAGAGACGCTGGACAGCATCCCAGTGGATGAGGACGGATTGCCTTCGTTTGAGGCCTTGGCAGATGGGGACGTGACCAATGCCAGTGACCGGAGCTGTCCCTCCTCTCCAGACGCCTCGCCACGCACCCCAGAGCCCGAGGAGCCTTCCTTGGTAACTTAAATTTGGTTTGATTCAGAAGGGAGTTTTATTTCATGATTTGGCCTCCAGATTTGGACACCGTCTTACTTTTTGGAAGGCATTTAATTATGACTGGGCACCAAAAGTGTTCATTGGTTTGTCAGAACGTCTGGTACCGACTATGTGTGTTAAGTGCAAGCAGGCGTATGGAGACAAAGAGAATACAAATATTTGATAAGTGTTTTGGTTAAGTTAGAACTGATTACATGTAAGTGAAAGTGTGTTTCCAAGTCATGTGCACTGTGATTTATTAGAGGACAACTGATGGGGATTTGTTGAACATATATTAAACCTTTAAAATGATAATTTATTCTAACAGGTAAATTGTATCTTGAAAATGTGTGTGTGGAACAAATATTTCTCATTAAATATAAAAAAGTACTGTGTTCCAATCCCCCTCAAAACCTTGCACAGCACTCACAATCACTGTCATTTTCAGCAAAATAGAGGCATTATGCCTGCTTAATAACACTGCTAGAAGCATTGCATGGTGAAAGATTAATGAAACAATAAATAATAAAGGAAATTAACTCAGTTTCTGTTAGACACCCACCTCTTTGAGGAGTTGCGGCTGGCATGAGAGGCTGAAGGAGGTGGGAGCGGTTATTGTTTGGAAGGAGAGTCCTCTTCCATTATGAGTTCAAGAAAATCATCAGGGGTGCATTCTGCCCGAGGGGTGGGGGTTGCACAACCTTACGTTTTAGCAGCATTGGCACATAAAACCAATCCATAGCCATTTGCTTCTGCCTGCACTTCAAAATATCTCAAATATATGCTCCAACATAGTCACCGCACAGATTTATTCTGCGTGAAATAGCTTTGTTTTTGTGAAGCTGTACATAGAAGCTTTGGCCTTTTCCCCCCACACGGTATACGTCTCTTCGGTGGCACGGGAAGTGAACACCTCCACGCTCACCACAGGAGACGCAGCTCTCATGTAGCAGCAGCACATCAGGCCTACTGTAGTGAGAGGCATGCAGCAGAGTGACTCGTGCCAAGTAGGCAAATATTAGGTGAAGGAAAATCTTTGTTCAGAATATTTGAATGCCTTTTGTGTTCAGAGAAGTTTGGACACTTTTGGATTCAGAGGGTTGACTGTTTTGCACAACAACATTTATTTCAGAACGTTTACCTTAAAGCAACTGTACAGAAGGGTACAGTGAGTTGGTTTAATCAGCAGCAACATCTTTTTCCTTCAGATCTAAAAGTGGTGAAATGTTGGGCGACTCCACGTGTTTGTGGTGGACAGTTTTGCTAATCCGCTAACGGCTAATAGCAGAACAAATTTTTCTTTTAGCGGATTAGCGTTTTTGCTAACTTTGGAAACCGTTTGTGGAATTAGCTTCCACTAAATTAGGTTTGGCCAACTCCAGGTTTGCTAACAACATTTACAAGCTTGTTCCTGTCTGTTGTGGGCGTGTCTCCAAGTGTCTGTTAAACGCACTATTGGCTGACTACATGCACGTGATAAGACGTGATTGGTCGACTCAGCTTCAACTGGAAGGAGACAAAGATGTATGATGCAGACTGAGTGACAGTCCTCTGAGTGTTTAGCGGTTTAGCGTTAGCTTCCGCTAATTATTTTTACAGTATTGCAGTGTTTCGCCTGTAAGTGCTGAAGCAAACACGTTTGTCCACATAACTGCTTCTAGTGGGACTCACAGATCAAACTGTTTTGTATGCAAATGCTTAACGTCACAGTTTATAGATACTTAGGCTTTCATGATATTTAACCTAGCACTGATTGAAGGATCACTATGAAGCTAGTTCCAAGCAGTGGTTCCAAATCCTGGTCCCTGAGGAACACCATCCTGCATGTTTTAGTTGTTGCCCTGCTCCAACACACCTGATTCAGTGACTGAATTATTTCAAGTTCTGCAGAAACCTGTTAATCACCCATTCATTCAAATCAGGTGTCGAAGCAGGGAAACAACTAAAACATGCAGTATGGCGTTCCTCAGGGACCAGGGTTAGGAACCACTGGTTTATAGTTATTTGCATTTTTCTTAAAGTAATACAACTGATAATATTAATGAAAAGTTGCTTTGGACAAAAAAAATAATAGAAGTCCTCCTTTTTTCTTAGACATTTTTGGAAAATCAGCGCACGGACACTGGTGCCGCTCTGATCATACTTTAAGGTCTTACTGTAGCTTTTTAACTGACACAAGGGTTAGTGCCATATATTTTACTTTTATTGTCAACAACACTGTGCTGCCCACATTTGTGCCTGCTTGGTAACTGTTCAGTGGATTATTATTATTATCATTATTATTATTATTATTTAATATCTTCTTAAATGTGACTGATTATCTGGTTTGCTGTAGGAACTGAGTAAAAACGATATATTTAGAGTAAAGAACATTAGAAATCCATAGAACCTCATCTTCTCCCTGTGACTAAGCTGAGTCTTCTTTAGTTTAAAAGAAAAAGACATAAAAAACTCATCTGTCATTGTAGGCCCTCCCATATTTGTTCTGTTGTTTGTACTTGTGATGTTGGCACCTGGAAATCTTTTCGGTTTCAGTGCATTAACCAAATTTTTTTTAATGTTACAGTTCGTTTTATTCTATGCCGGTTCTTTTCCAAATGACCTTTAGCAAAACGCCTGACTGTGTTTACTCCATCACACAGGAAGCACATGGTTATGTGTATACAAAAACACCTGTGCAAGAAGGAAAATACGTTGATTTAATCTATAAACTGTTTACAGCTGTTTAGTCTTTTAAACATAGTCTTCTTCTTTTTTTTTTACTGCAGAATCAGTTTTTATTGCACATTTATAAAAGTGGGCTGTGTAATTGAAAGGAAATGGTCGTTTGCATAACTCAAGGCTTCTTCTCGCCCGCCCTCACCTCCCTCTCCCCACCTTTCCAAATGTGTTTGGGTCCATTTGCAGCTGAAGAAGCTCCTTCTGGCACCCGCAAACTCCCAGCTCAGCTATAATCAATACACAGGTGGCAAGGCACAGAACCATGCAGCCAGCAGCAACCATCGGATCAGACCACCACCTGCCGTCGTCAAGGTGGACACACACACACACACACACACACACTATAAAAATCCCCATATTGCCTCACAGCTTTTTTTCAGTCTTGTCTGTACATTTTTTTTATTTCTGTTTGTTTATCTCTCATATTTTGCTCGATCTCTCCGTCTTGTTTCTCTCTCGCCACATATTTTTGTTTTGGTGGCCGCTTTAGAAGACGTTAGGCTACTGCTTTAGCAGTCTACTATCCCAGGAGGCTGTCTTGTAATGAAAACAGGCTGATTGCTGTTGGGCTTTGCAGGCAAGAAATCAGCGCTGTTGTCTCATTAGCTCCAATACTTAAACAACTTGATGTGGTGCCAGTTAATAAAAAAAGAAAGAAAGAGAAAAAAGGAATAAAAAAAAAAAACCCAGCAACAGGCACTACTGCAGCAAGATTGATGTCTTGAGATGACGATCAAAACATCAGATGTGATGTTCTCATTAGATTAGTTTAACGACTAATTTTAATAATTAGGGATGGGTTAATTAATTTACAGATTTAGGTTACACAACAAGTTTGTGAATGTAAATAAATTAAATATGTGATTTTATTTTGGTCAGAATTCAGCACAGTGTATGTTGGCTGTCATCTACATCAACATATCATTAACAGATAAGTGTTTGGGCTTTAAACGACCAGTATACTCATCTGTATTTGGCAATATTGAACGATAAACAGAGCACAGACAGATTTGTAGGTGATCTACATACTATGTTTGCACATTCAGTGAGTCAACCTTCCTTACTGAGTCTATTTTCACACCGTACCTTTGAGTCATCTATTTCTGGAGCAAAGCGAAAAAGGACTCCTGGAGGACACAGTGTGCATACAAAGTGATGTGCTGGTGCTCGAGGTGGGGGCACACAATTACAATGATGGGCAGACAACCCTCCCGCCGCCACCTCCCAGACTTATGGGTGACTACCATGCTCAACAATCAGAGTCGGTGTTGTAGCTCCATTGTATCTCCATCTCTTTCTAATTGTACCTTTGTTTATTCTTTGCCAAATGCAGTACATACTATAACATTTGAAACAGGTGTACAGTATTAACAACTAGGTGTGTAACGGTACTTTTTATTTGTAGCAAAGCTGCAATCAGACCTCTCTCATCCTGAAGAGGACGCAGTTTGTTTTTCTAATTGTGTGTTGTTAATTGCCACAACTGGAAAAGAATGGAGGAAGATGCTTTCTATAGCACTTTACTCCAAAGCGAAGGACGAATGGTTGGTTCAGATGTTGAATTAAGATGATGGGCAGATTACGGACAGCCACTCGTTTGTACTAGTACAAACGTTTTATTTTGTGACATTATTTAGTTCTGTCCCTTTTATTTGATATTAAGTTTAGGCTAAATTAATTGAAATAAATACTCCTTGTTATACGATTTTATTTTCTGAAGGGAAATGCATTTTTGTTTCAATCAAGGCCTGTACAATACTAGTTATAATTAGAGTTGAATGAGTAATGACTTTTTAGTTAAGTTACCAGTTGACAAGCCCTACATTGCTATATAGGCTTTAAGATATATTAACTTTAAGCCTTTCTATCAACAAAGGTGGTTTGTTTATCTATTTTTACTTCTGGGAAAGTGATTGGTTAAAATACTATAAGTTAAAACAAACCCTTGCATTTAGAATTTGTTTGTTTTCCTGTTGTACCAAACTCATATTGAACTATGACCCGAGGTAAGTACCGTGACATGTGTTCATTTGCATCCTTACTAAAAACAGTGAGTAAAACTCTTAATTCAAGCCAACTTAGCTTTTGTTTCTGTTTATTACTGATTTGCATAGATGGAGAGCCCCTGGAATGGCAAGGCAAGAGGGGGCTCCAGCCAACAGAACCGCCCGGTGAGGCGGCCGTGCACAGAGCTGCTGAAATACCTAACAGCCACAGATGACATCCTGCTCAACACCAAAGCCAGTGAAGCCAAGAGCGCCTGGGGAGGTTCGAGTAGCAGGGACAAGAGTGGACTGGGTCTCTGTGCCTCTTCCTCCTCATCACCGTCCTCATCCTCCACCTCCTCGTTCTCCTCCTTATCTTCCACCTCCTCTTCCTCTTCTTTCTCCGCCACTACCAAGAAGAAGTCAACATCTCAACAGCAGCAGCAGTCGCCGCAGCAGCATCACCAGCGAGGTGAGAGCCGGGCTGCAGGCGAGTGTAGTATGGCTGGTCATGGGGATGGGAAATGGCCGCGTTGCACACTCGATGACGGGGTTGAGGAGTCGGAGGGTACCTCTGTCCCTGTTGGCCGCAGAACCTACAAATGTGGTCACGCCTGCCCCAAACCACAGCATGGGCCACCCAGTGAAGAAGGAAGGCCACCAGGCGATGTCGGCCACCTGGCCGCCGCTAGGTTTATTAGGTATATGCATTCTTATTCCCTCCCTCCCCGAGAGGTGAGTCACAGCTGTGAGCATTGCCGAGAGGCTGCAGGCGCCACTCAGGCGAGTGAAGGCTTTGGCAGACAAGGCCCCAGTAACAGTAGCGGTGTCAGCCGTGCACCACATAGGCAGATCTCAGTGACATTTAAGAAAAAAGACGTTAAGCCGGGGCACCCTTTACTTAGTCAGCTGCTCACCTCCAAACAGAGGCCCATTCAACACTGGGCCCAACTACCCCAACCCACAATCAACCTTTTACATAGCACTAAGAGCAAATCAGCTGGTAATAGTTCAAAGAGACAGGTTGAGTTTTCTTGCAGGATGGAAAAGAAGGAAGTCAGAAGGAGCACTAATTTTAGAAACCAGGCTGAAGAGCTGGAACTCTTGCTGCCTCCTCTTGCATTAGACCTAGAGAGCTGGGACACCCAATTAGATCAAGGGCTAGATACAGGCTTTGGACTAGCGCTGGGATGGCCAAACCAGGGGGGCTATCGGGATGATGTTGACCATGATGATGATGGTGTTGTTGATGATGTTGATGATGACCATGTCATGGGCAGCCTTGCAGCGGTGCCCTCACCGGGCCAACCAAGCCCGCTCATTTCAGATACTAGCATTGCAGAACCCACCCCTCCCTGCATCATACAAGTGCAAGGGCACCCACACAGGCAGGCACTCAGCGAGCACCCCGATGACCAGGGCCACCCTTTGTTAGGTAATCATGACTGCATCCCCCACCACTGGGCTCATCTCTGCTCTTTTCTTCTCCCTGTGCTGCTTTAACCACTTCCAAGTTTGATTTCACCACTAATCTGTGATCTAATTCGAATCTAACCGTCATTCTGAGGACGTTGAAACCAATGACCACAAACAGCCTGCTCGCCAAAGCTTTTGTGCCAGCCCTGGAAGTGTTTGTTAAATTGATTTTCTGAGTGCATTTTAGAAAGAAAAAAAAGGGGGTGGATAAAGGGGGTGAGCTTTGTCTTGCTGCTATACAACTTATATTTACAGTCAGTTCTTGAACTATTTTTGGCTGACCGAGCTGAGTGTTCTGAATATGCACATTTAGACTCAGAGCCCAGATGCTGCTCTTTAGCATTGCGCTACCAAAGCCACATTCTGTCAGCTGAAGCACAAGTCGGCCAAAGCCTCGGGCAACTGCACAAGCTTCTTTGACTCTCCTTTCTTCCTTCTTTTTCCCCCCCTCCTTCTGCTATTGGTGCATGCGATCATGACTTTTTTTTTTGTGTAGGGAGGGGCTCACCCACTGTCACGTGTTTTGTTTTGTAGCATTTGTCTCTGTAAGTTTTTTATTCCATTATGATCTGTTTGTTGTCAAGCGCAGTCTGTTTTGTGTATAGACACTTGTGAAACCATCAATCCACCCTGCCTCACATAATAAACAATCTGTCCTAAGAGAGTAAATTGTTAATATGGGGTCAATTTAACCACCTCTACTTTGTGTAATAGCATCAGTATAAAAATTATTTATGCAGGGATTGGTGTTTCTGTAGTAATACATGCATTTGTTGAGATAATTTGCGATTAAATGTTGCAGAATGTGGACTTTTTCTCTTCTGCCATAAGTGTTAGATAAATAATTACCCATGCTCCTTTGTGTTCTGCAGCCAAACCAACCATCTTGCCACTTCCTTTGACCCCAGAGTCTCCAAAGTAAGTGTGAGAAATTTTTTCACATTTATCTAGGCAAAAAGCAACAACAAAGTACAGCAAAAAACAAAGAAATAATAAGAATAATAAGAATAAGAAAAATAAGAATAATAAACAACCTAAAATTCAGATTGAGGCATTTTTTGTGACTCATTCCCATTTCTTTCACAAACGTTTTTGTAAAGACTTCAATCCAAGAACTCAAATTTAGTCTAGTTTTTTTCTGTCTTCCAGTGACCACAAAGGATCACCATTTGAGAACAAAACCATTGAACGCACATTAAGTGTGGAGATTGCTGGAACCCCAGGTAAGAACAGTTTTCTGGTTGTCCAAAATCTAAACCACTGACACCATACATTTTAATTAGAGTTTATTATATATATTATATGATATTTAGCTTTTGCATCATTTTGAGCGTTCTGTCACAATTCAAGTTTCAAGGTGAACACACCAAAGGTTATTTTTCTGTCCAACATTAGGGTTAGGATTCGAAACAATGGACAGAATTTGTGCACAGTCCATCACTGTGCCAGGTCCCCTGCACGAACCCTACCCCCCACCCAGGCCTCCTGCTATACCCTCTTTCCACCGAGGGTTTTTAGTAGGGAGAGTGTTATGTGGGCGATGGGCCCAGGGATCCTGTCAGAGTCTGGGTTTAGGCTTGACAGTCAGGGTTAGGTGCAGGGTCAAAGGGTGGGGTTATGGTCAATGGTTTAAAGACAATCAGAGGGCTAAGTTTAGAGAGAGGGGTCCTGGGTTAAGTTTGGGGTCACTGGTCAGGTATAGGGTTCGGTTTGGGGTCGTCAGAAGGTTAGGTTAAAGAAAAAGGGTCCCGGATTAGGTTTAGGAAAAGGGGTCTCGGGTTAGGTTAAGGGTCAAGGGTCAGAGGGTTAGGTTTAAGAAAAGGGGTCTCGGGTTAGATGTAGGAAAAGGGGTCTCGGGTTAGGTTTAAGAAAAGGGGTCTCAGGTTAGGTTTAGGAAAAGGGCTCTCAGGTTAGGTTTAAGAATAGGGCTCTCGGGTTAGGTTTAAGAAAAGGGGTCTCGGGTTGGTTTAGGAAAAGGGGTCTCGGGTTAGGTTGAGGAAAAGGGGTCTCGGGTCGGGTTTAGGAAAAGGGGTCTCGGGTTAGGTTTAGGAAAAGGGGTCTCAGGTTAGGTTTAGGAAAAGGGGTTGCGGGGTAGGTTTAAGAAACTGGAGCTCAAGTTAAATTTAGGAAAAGGGGTCTCAGGCTAGATTAAGGGTCAGGGGTCTGGGGGTTAGGTTTGGGGTATGGTTTGGTTTAGGTGATTTAGGGTTAAGATTAGGGTTAGGTATTCATTTACCATTACATGGAGAAATGATCCCTGGATTTACCGTCTGTCATGTACTTGTGGGGGGTATCTCAAACCCATGAACAAAACTCAAACTCAACCTTTTGAACAAACCCATTGTTATTAGGTACCTTAACCACTTCACAGTCCTTATATATACATTTATAGGGTATTTTTCTTAGCTCCTCTTTTAAAGTTGGGGCTTTTTTACTTCAATAGGGACTCAAGTGAAGTAAGGGAAATGCTCGGGCCATATAAAAGTGTATATTGACTGGACAAAAATTTAGACACTCATCTAGCATTGAAACTATTAAGATTGTCTTTGTGTCGCTAAAGTAGAAGCTACTTTACTCTTGTTAGTGTCTGCTACAACTTGGACATTTGTGAACATGTAAAAGTAGACTGCTCTATCATTTTTTTTTTTTTTCATTTAGCCTTTATTTATCCAGGTTAGTCTCATTGAGCCACGAGAACTCATTTTCAAGAGAGACCTGTTTAGGGAGCACATGGTGGGGGTTAAGGGCCTTGCTCATGGGCCCAGAGTGGGGTGAATGAGGGTGGGGGCAAGTGTGGGTGTTTCACCTACCCCACCCACAATTTGGATGTTGTCGGGGCCGGGGCCTGAACCGGCGATCTTCGGATCACAAGCCCACCTCTCTAACCTCTGCGCCACCACTCCCCCTATCATATGAGTCTTAACCTCACATTGTCCCTCTGGCAGCGTTAAAGCAAACGATTAGTCCATATAGTTGTCTGTAGTGGGAGTAACAGACCCTATAACTCTCAGAGAAGCCTTATGAGTGTTAGGTCCAAAAAAAAAAACTATTGAACAACATAATTTTGTGATGCAGTTGGGGAGAATTAAAATAAATCTTCAAAGTTCAAAAGTTGGAAAGTGTGGAGTAATTACTCTTTTTTCATCTATTTCAATTATTTGGTTCTAAACACAAATTTATTCAAGCTTAATCATCCAAGGTCAATAACAATAAACTGACTGCCCTTTAGCCTCTGGAGCTGGCCCATTTGGGTATTCATTTACCAGTAAATGGAGAAATGATCCCTGGATTTACCTTCTGTCGTTTACTTGTGGGGGGTTAGAAACTCAAACCCAAGAGGTTTCCCTCTTTCTTTCCATTTTCGTTTCAAGTGTTGTTTAACCCCTTTTGGGCAGATAAGCTTTCAGAGTCAAACGGGATGCCTGTTGACACTTAAAGGAAGGAGCGGCACTCCTTAAAGCCCATGGGACAATCAAGTTCAGTTAATATTTCCTCTCATTTTACTGCCTGTGGGCAAGTCTGTTTGACCCGTGGCCAAATGTATGCTTTTTTTTTCAGCACCCATTTAACAAGCACAATCTGTGCTTAAAGCCCTTCACCTGACTTTTTCTATTCTGGGCAAATTTGGGATTGAATATTAGCAGGAAAGTCATTAGTCCAAAAAGCTTAGCGTTACTGAGCCACCAATTCGTAGTTAGAGATTAGCTCTGAGGCTCATGTTGTATGAGACAGATGGGTATAGATCCCAGTAAGCGCTGGTGTAAGCTGTTACGTGTTCTTTGCAGATTTAGAGTAACATTTCATCACAATAGAGATAATAGTGGTGTTACAGATAATCTGATGGAGGTTAGTTGAGTGCATGGTTCTACTTTAATGGCAGGACAATTGTGCACATTTTATGTCTTTATGACCAGTTGTTTCAGCCTTTGCAAATTATAACAAGCTAAATAATGTCAAAGAGCAAATAAAAGGAACATATGCAGCCTTTGTGTTTGTGTGAACCTTCTTGGAGAGGGACTGTAAAGGCTACAAAAGGCAGACAGGCCCCTTGGGGTGCAACTGTTCAGGTCTAATCTCTGCCTAGCTAATAGATTTACTCTGTACTACTGTGTTGTCTTTAATTACTGTATCTCATGACACAGAGGTGGTCTGTGTGTTGCTATTTGCATAGCTTACTGCAAGATCAACCTTTTAAGCCTGGAGTTGTTATTCGCTCTGTGGTCTCCTTGCGATTTATAGCTGGAAAGAACAAAAAAAATAAATAAATTAAACTCTTTTTTTTCTCACACTCCCGCTTTCTCACACACAGTGGTGTCTGCGTGATTGGTGTTTGTGTCTGCAAATCATCCATCAGTTGCAAGTTTGACTGAGAGGCACATATTTATCTAACTCTGATTTATTTCACCGCCATTGCTAATGGCTCCTAGTTTATGATCTCATGCACAAATGGTTTCGGACAGATGGTGCTTCGTTGATGAAACTGAGTTTTTTCAGGCATTGTCTAACATCCGCTTTGCCTTCCTCCTAACGCCTATTTTAATTGGTGTAATGCATATATACAGTGTCACTATCAGCTGCGGGAGATAAAAGAGATTGATGGGGGAAAAGAGAGTATAAGAGGAGTGTTGGGTGCTTGCAGTCCTCAGAGTCACATCAAGACAATGATGATAACTCATCGGCTCGTGCATTCCAAATAAGTTACTTTAGACACAAAAACATTTATGTGTCAGGCTTTCACACCGAGCTATCTCACTCATCAATGTAGATTCTAACACTATATTTGATACTAATAGCTATCATTTGGAGAAATTCAATGGCAAGGGGGAGAATAACATATATTATAGGAATGGGAAAGAAGAAGGGAGAGCGTAGGTGTTTCAAAGTGCTTGAGTTTGACTCCAGTGAGAGACTGTTTGTGACAAGTGTGCCTCTGTGTGTGGGCACATTTGTTCTGTGTAAGATAGAAACAGGGAAAGATGAAGAAAGACAGAAATTGTGGAGGGGGAAGGGGAAAGAGGGGGGATAGAGATTGATCCAGGGAAGATGGCAGACAAGGGGAAGAGAAAAAAGGACAGAACACCAGACTAAAGGAAGAAAGAGGTGGAACGAGAGAATAAAAGTAATGGTGGCGGCTGTTTGTGTGAGTGCGGTAACAAAGCTATAAAGTGGGCTCATCTCAGGACTTCCCATATAACTGCCATCTGTCTGGTTATAAATCTGTAGAAAGCGAGGGAAGAGATAGAGGAATTGGGGTGGGGATGTGGGCCACGAGCAGTAGGGACATTTGTGACGAATGTCAACTCAAATGCTGGTTCTTCCAATGTTTCATTGAAATGATGAACATCTCCAGAATGCCAAAATGTGCATGTTCACTGTCCTCCAACAATGTTGAACCGAAAATACAGATGTTGCTTGATAATCTTGAATCAACAAAGAAGCTATTAGGAAATATATGATACATTTAAGTTTTTTTTCTATCAGTTGTATTTTATTTCCTCACTGTGGTTTTTTTTCTTCAAAATGGATCTTTTCAAGGTCAGAAAGGAGGAGAATGGCAAGTCATCCATATAACAGCTCTGCCATATTAAGTTACACCAAGCATTACATTAATCTGTCAAGATTGCAATAAAATAGGATTAGACCAAGCGAAAGTGAATATTTTAATCAGGCATGTATCTGTGTCCGCTGTCCATAAACTGACCTGGGAGTTTATAGATGGGAGAGAGAAGAATAGGAGGAGCAGGTTACTTTGTGAGGGGTCTATATGAGTCAATTTGCATTTTATTGCTCACACCCACCTCTGCCTCTATCTACCCTGTACAGGTCTGACACCACCTACCACGCCCCCACACAAAGCCAGTCAAGAGAATCCTTTCAAAGCATCTCTGAAAACCAAGTTGTCCTCATGTTCCTCCTCGGTCTTGACATGCAAAAGAGCCAGGCTGAGTGAGTTGGGTGCCGGTGCTTTGACCCCGGCCCCAGGTGCCTCAGCCGGGGGTCCCATCAGAAAGGATCCCGAACAGACTGAGCTCTATGCACAGTTGAGCAAAGTATCTACCACCTTCCCTGCAGCTGGGGGTGGTTTTGAGGAGCATTGCAGCACTGGCAACAATAAACGGGCAGCTTCTCGTCGTCACAGTGACCATGACTATTGCCAGGCATCAGGCTGTATCAAGAAGTATGGGTGCTCAGCTACTGTTTCCATGAGTACAACTGTGGAAATGACACACCCTCTAGGTGCCAGTGCTGCTCTTACACCCAGTGCTAGCAAAGTGGAGAATGGGCATGTTGAATGTAAGGACTCAGCCATCTCAACATTGTATTCATCATCATCTTGTTTTACATCATCTTCACCTAGCCCATTGACAAAGGAGAAGAATATTGTCCCTGTGGATGGAGAAGGAGGGTTTACCAGGGGCATAGGGGAGCCAACCCATACGCAAACCACTCAGATCCCCACACCAGGGGCCACCACTGTTAAGGACCAACCACAACATTCTGCAACCAGTCGGAAACCCCTGTGCGACCAGGAAATAAGAGCAGAACTCAACAAGCACTTTGGCCGTCCTGTACAAGCCCTCTGCAGCAAGGGTGGGCAAGAGAAAGGTTCAAGCGGCAAACCAAACAAGCCTCCAACCCCTCGATCCTATGAAGGGGATGAGAATGACATTTACTCCCAAAGACTGCCAGGCTCCATCTATTTGACCCCAGGGTTTCTGTCCTTTCATGATGAGCTAGTCCTGGACAAGGGCCACGAGAGTCGCTTTGTCTTTCCATGGGAAGGAAACCCCCTCGACCTACTCTTCGACTGCTCCCCCAACTCTCCCTCCTGTTCTCCTCCATCAAGTTGCTCCCCTTCACGTGGCTCTGTCTCCCCACCTTCCTCCCTTCTCCTGTCACCCAGCAGACCTTTCTGCTGGACCAGTAGCGGGTCCCGTTCCCGCTCTCGTTCTCATTCAGGCTCCCGCAGCTCCTCGTCACAGTACCACAGGCGCTCTCTGTCCAGCTCACCAGACAGACGTCCTTCCTCCTGGTAAGTTGCCATCCTTCCTTTTCTTTTTGTTTTGTGGAGTGTTCTCATTTGCCCTAAATCCTAACCCTAATCTTAACCTAACTCTGACTAGATCAAAATACTGGTTTTACTCTCAAATAGCAGCCATACCTCAGTGGTGGAGGTGTTGATTTTCTATGAAAATATTGGGTCTTTCTAAAGAAATATGGGTCTATGAGCAAAACAAAAACTGAAAACTGTAGAAAGATAGGACCACACACATTTGCTCTGTAGCTGCTCCCCAAATATCCCATTTACATGGGGCTTTGAGCTGGCAGGGGGTCCAGTTCTAGATAGATAGTTCATAACATGGGTCGGATAATTTTTCTGAAATGGCGTGAGACATGATAGACCTTACAGACTTTTAGACTTAATTTCCACACTTGGTATTAGGTAGTTGTTTAGCACTGAGAAAACACTAATGTTCAAAATATTTGCAGTTTCCCCCATTCCATCTGAACACTACAGCCCAGCTTCAAATATGAGTTTTAACTTCCTGTTTTTTTCCGAACCTTTAATGGTTTTTTTTGTAATATCTGAAATAATTTATATTTAAATTTGTTCTTGCAATACGGGAGAAAAGGCTCAATAGTACAATCAAAAATGAAATGAAAAATACTAAAAGTTGCTTCTGGCACTAGACTTTTGAACATGATGAGTTTTCATCTCTAGGCTGGGAATTTTCTTTGGGCATCTCTCTAATAACGGTCCCTTCTCATTCACTCCCTTGCTCCCATTTACTTTTCTTTTCCTTTGATGTCAGGGGTATTGTTTTAAGTGGCAGCTGTTGTTTTAAATGAGTGCCAAACCTCCTTCTTTTACATCTCTAGAGATAAAAGCCAAATCCAGTCTGTAGGAATGTAGTCACCAAACACCTTTAAAAAGAGCCCTATCAGCATAGACCTGTGTGAGAACTACATTTCCCATCTTTCCCTTTGATCCGAGCCGAGGGATTTTTTTTTTTTATGCTAGAAGACAGCAAACGCTAGTTACTGAGAATGATATGAATAAATTGAGCTTGTCAGGAGTTGCTCATTGAGCTTCTCACAGTGTTGGACTCCACTGCAGTGACTCACTTTGTTTGCATGATTACTGAAAGGTCAGTTTACTCCATGAAGCCAATAGATTCACTTCTTCTTGTTCAGGCTCTTATTCTTGATTCTACACCAATATGCTCGCAAATTATGCAGAAATAGTCTCAAGGCATTCAATCAAAATCTGACACTGACAAGCTATGTGAAAGCACTGAATAGGCATTCAAGAAAACAAGCAAAGCCATGCACGAATTGGAAAGCAACATTTCAGCAGACTAATTCTCAATACCACTGTTTTTTAGTTTTGCAGCATATAGTCCTTTGGCGATCAAAATAGGCATTGCTTTGCTTCACTTAGCTTCCAAAACTACTTTCTTTTGGATTATTCAGGGCTTCTTCAAGAACCCTTCAATAATTGAGCATCAGGCGCTCAAAGCGTGCAGGTATATAAGCTATAGAGTAAGGTCGCCAGGGTTTAAACTATTGACCACTGCTTCATACAACATAGATAGTAGGTACATGCCAGTACCAGTACTGAAGCCAGTTCAGGTACTTGAAAAAAAGTTCAGGTATAAATCCTGAACATACTTTAGTCATGAGTTGCATGAAGCCAAGGTGGGGGAAAACACTTCCTGTGGTTTGTCTTCATATCTCAAAAGCTCTCAAAAGTAAAAAAAAAATATGTTGAAACTTTAGGTTTTGAATTCAGTAGCATATTTGAACATGTTCTAACTGAAACATCATCACTCTGGGGTTTACTAAAATATTTCTACGTTTTGCGTTTGATTTTTTTGTACTTCAGGTCTCATCACAGCTCAGATTTGAACGCTGTTCGCTCCAGAATCCAAAAGAGCCCCCGCCCTCAGTCTCGATCTCCTCACAGCCGCAGGCCAAGGTAATTGTTTTAAATCAATTATTTAGCCTCCTGTTTAAAATGCATTGTTAACCTTAGTATAGTTATGCGCTTCGGGTAAGGGCAAATGTTTATGGTGTGCAGGTTCTTGACAAAACTCTTTAGATTTATAATGGTATGAATGAAAATAAGACATTATAGTGAGTTTTTTCTTAATAACCACTTAGAAAATAGTCTTTTTTTTTTTACTCTGTTTTGTCTTACAGCATATGATCCATTTTTTAAGTAAGATGTATACATAAAAACGGCTATTGCTTGAAAACTTTGGTCTTTTCAAATCCTAAATTGAGTATGGGGGACCTTTAGAAGTTTCTGATTAGTTAACCTCCAACTGCAAGAAGAAATAACGGTGTAATGTGAAATTGACAACTAATTTTAAGTCAAATAAACAGCTATGAACAATTCTGAGACTGAAGCAAAATCGTCACAGGTTTGACTTTTGGCTGGGTTTGGTTTTCTTCCCACAGTCCAAAAACATGCATGTGAAGTTGATTCTCTAAATTATTGCCATTCCACCTTTATTTATACAGGTTAATCCCATTGAGCCTCGGGGACTCATTTACAAGAGAGACCTGATCCATGTGAGCATGATTGGTTGTCTCTTATTTGTTCGAGTTCAAGAATCTTTATTATCCCCAAGGGGCAATTTGTTTCACAGTCAGTAGGCACACAAAACATCCATACTGGACAAGACATTAAGACATTAAAATAACCAGTACAGAGATCATCACTGTTCGTTGAGAAGCTTGAACCCTACAGGGATCATTGAGTTTTTCAGTCTGTTCATCCTACATCTGGGCAGCAGAAACCTGTGTTAGATATTTATCTAGACTGGTCCTGCGGTTTTTGATCTGCTCAGAGACAGGATTATAATGAAATTATGACCCGGTTCTGACTGGGTTGAACGGGGCCAGCAACTCTAAAAAGAGTCTCCCAGGGATTCAATATCCATCAAGGAATAGAGTTTATTTTTGCTTGCTACATCACGTAGAAAGGCTTTTGAAGCACCGTCTTATTTTTCCTTACACGTCAAACCACATAAGATCCATTGAGATCACATTTAGTCACGCCCCCTCATACACGGGACAGGTTGTGCTTCCCTTCTGCGAAGGAGGAGTTTAGGCCCTATAAATCAGTAATGACATGGGACATCGGCCTTTCCGGTTTGTGATCATGTCATAGACCGAAGAGGCCAGCGCTGTAGACTGTAACCTTTTCCTATCTTGATTTTAATACAATTGGTAAAACTGAATTAGCGTTTCCTTGATCTGTTGTTGGTGTGAGTGCCGCTTCTGAGGGAGGTTCGAGTCGGGGGGAGCGATATGGGATGGCGGCAGGCCCTGGGTCTGAGAGGAGGCCTAAGGCCCACGGCTAGCAGCAGCTAGCTGCAGTGACCGGTGACCCGCAGCCAGCTCCCGTCATAACACCTGCATCCAGATGGAAGCAACCTGAACTCACCATGGAGTAGTAATCAGGATCTGCCAGAATCAGCCTGGCCTTGTTCACTGACCTTGCCTTGTCTTGACTCTATGTGGTCCTGTAATGGACTGGCAATCTGGCCTGGGTGTACCATGTCTCTTGCCATTGTTGGGAGAAAGGCACCAACTTCCTGCAACCCTGAACAAGAATGGAAAATGTAGAAAATTGGATGTATTGATAGACGAGTTGAGGCAGCAGTTCATTTTGAGCCAGGCTTTGCTCAAAGTAGCTGTTAGATTGTCAATCCTGTCAGAATGAAAATATCCCTTTAATGGTAAATACGCTAAAACTGATCACAACTTGTGACCAAAAAGAGAAAGATACAGCAATCTTACTTTTTTTTTTTTTTACGTTCATGCTACACTCATGAGGTGATGCTCCCAGCTCTCTACTCATCTGAGTGTCTGTCTGTAGTTTTCCTTGAGCCACTGCAGACAGGACCATTTCATATGCAGAGAAGTACTGGCACAGACTGACCCCATCTCGGCGCTCCGAGCCGATTTGGCGCCCACGTGCCTAATGACACCCGACAAGCCCGAGAGTCGCTCATCAGTGGAAAACTTAGTGGACATGTCTTGTGCTAGTCTGAGGCGGAGAAGGGGAGGGGGAGGGGGAGAAAGTAGCACTTTTCCTTCTTGATGAAGCCCTAACTAAGCAGAAAGTAATGACATGTGAAGTTGTGCTGACAGCCGCAGCTGCCTGGGTCCCCAACTGCGCTGCTTGCCGGCACTCCCGCGGGCCTGTCCTGCAGGCTCCGCGTTCTTAGAAATGGCAAAAAAAGACATCTTATTAACACGTCCATCTCCTTTACTTTGCAACCAACTCCTCAGCCGTCACTGGACCTGGTCCTTGGTGGATACTGGCAATTGTTCTTCATAAGCATCGACAGGAATGGCGCATTTAAAAGGGACAGGGGAGGACAGTGATCGATGTTGTACATATCTTTTCCCTCCGCAGGTATGACAGCTATGAGGAGTACCAGCACGAGAGGCTGAAGAGGGAGGAGTATCGCTTGGATTACAAGAAGCGAGAGTTTGAAAGGGCCGAGCAGAGAGAAAAGCAAAGGCAAAAAGCAATAGTGAGTCAACTAAAATCACATTTTCTCTGTTACTGCAGTTTTGTTTTTTTTTTCTTTATGTTGCTCAACTTATTTTCCTTCACCGGTGCTGATAAAAGAGCACATGTAATCAGCGATGTGGCACAGAGCCCTCCCACAGACACACACAGATCACTTAGGATGAGACAGCCTGAAGCTCCGTGCCATGTGCCAAAGCATTTCTCCACCGAGAGAATACATACAAAGTGAGTTCCTGAATGATTCAGGCGACAGGCCCTTCCTCTTTCTCTTTAGGTTGTGTATTTTTAACATCGCTGTCGTCTGGAAACTCTGTCAACTTGTATTAATCACGCCACAGGGGTTAAAACAGCGGAAAATAGAAAATAGCAGAACAAGAAGAGAGGTTAAAAAAGGAGGGGAAATGGTCACTGAGTCTTCCAGATTTTTTATTTTTTTTCACCTGAACAGCGAAAGCCCCATATCTGTATCTGTGTTTTGTCAAAACATCTCATGAACCACCAGACAAATTTAATGAAACCTGCGTAAAGTAATCACTGGGTGTTCATCTACAGAGGTCTGCAACCTTTTGAATCAAAAGACTCATTTCTACTCTTCATTTACGAAACAAAATGTGACTAGAGCTGCAAAACCTGCTACAATGGTCTTTATCAACTGGTGGCTCATGGGCCACTTCAAATTTGTATGAAGGGGTTTTTTTTTTCAGCCAGTGTGGGTGACTTAAGAAAAACAAAAAGTATATAATGAATTTTAACATTTATTAATAATTTTACAATTTAGGGCTAAAGAAAAGACCACATTCATAAACAAGGGTAAAAAAAATGTTTTTCTTACCAATTTTACAAAAAAAAAAAATATATATATATATATATAATATCATTTAACTCTGCAGGCTTTTGTGAGTCTTTCTTTTAATTATATAAAAATGAAAATAAAATGTATCCCACTTTAAATTAATAAAGTGTATATTTGGCCATTTTGTTGGACTTGTACATGTGACATTAAAATTTTAATTTAAAAATACATTTTGTATTTACTTTAACTTTAATTAGGTTTATCTCTCTATCCATCCATTCATTATTTTTTCACCATATTTCTTCAAAGATCTTCTGGAGAATTTCAAAGATCCCACTGTAAGACAGGACGTTGGATAAATGAAGTAGCTAAAGCTAATCAACATTATTTTCTCCTTGTTTTACTAATTTAGTTTAAACATTTGCAGAAAAACTGCTGAAACTTGCCATTTCTCTTTACTGTGGGTATAAAAACCAACAAATTTATATTTTGCATTATGTTTGTTCAAAGACTCGAGGAGCTGCAGACCAGGACCAAAAAAGCCGCATGTGGCCTCAGAACCACAGGTTGCAGACCCCTCCGATTAACTATTGATCATCCCGATTCAAGATGGCCACCGCAGCCAACTGACCTTAAAAACACAAAAATGGCTGCAACAGTTACTTTTATACTGACTTAAAAGTTGGTGTTGTAGTAGCTGAGAATGCTCCACAGCACAAGTTCTGAGGGCTGACATTGAACAAAATGTTTGTTTATAAGTTGGCCTTTAACTATTAAAGATCAACTGTGTTAGCAAAATAACTCATGAACCACAATTTAATGAAACTGGCAGAAGGTAATCATTGAGTATAAATCTTCAAATTAGAACCAACCCAATTCATAATAACTGCCACAGCCAATGCACCTTAAAAATAACAAGAATGGCTTTAAATTAGTTAGTTCAGAAGTTATTATTTGATGTAGTAGTAGCTGAGAGTCATTCACCCCATACTCTGAGCAAGACAGAAGTAATGCCAAAATTTCAGCATAAAAAGATCTTAGTCTTAAACTCCGGCATGAAAGGTGGCGGGCGATATTCCTTCAAGGAATGCTAGCTGTTTTATTTGTCGTTGGTATCCGTTTCCAAATTCAAACCAGTGAACATCATATTTTCTGACTTATCTCCACACTCCTTGTCTCAGTGGGAAATTACTCAGGTTTCCAGTGGGGCTAACGCTCCTTACCACCCGTTGATAAAACACACATTAAATGATACAGTATTGCCATCTCGGCTCAGCGTGCATTTTTTTTTTCCCAGAGACGGAGAGACAAACAATCATGAACAGTCAAGCTCAAGCTGTCAAACACGATTTGGGAAGCCGGAGATGAGAAAGTGCCTTTCTGTCCTGCTCGTTTTGCTTTTGCATCATTTTACCCCTCTTATATTTTTATATACACACACATATATATATATATATATATATATATATATATATATATATATATATA